GGATTAGCAGCACTGATCTTGATAGAGTTAAAAATTTCTCATTTGAGTACTATCCCTTACAGAGTACTAAAAGCGAACCTAGTCTTAACTTTATTTCATATACTTCGATATAGTAGTAGGATAGTATTTTAGATGCCCTTTTTTTAGAACCTTATCAAGATCAGTATGTAAATCGACTTTTTTTCAGCCTCATCAGGAACAGTACGATCCATCAGGAATGGTATTTTTGCTAATTTGGTAAGTAAAGTTTGAGTAAATTTTAACATTCTGATATGTAGCATGTATAAAAGTGGATATAAAATCTAAAAATTTTGAGGTAAATTTCTTTGAATCGTATGATTTTATTTCCTCCTACATTATGTAATTGTCCGGGTCAGGTCCAGTAAAAGCCATATTTAACCTACTCACAGCAATCTTCTACGTGTATGGTATGTATTATTCACTATCTTATGAAAAATGAGATTTGTCATGGCAAAACTTTTCTACATTCAATTTATAGGTACACAAATCAGACTTTTACGATATAGTTTTTCAAAGAAGGTATCTTAAAAAGGCTTTATTGTTTAATACATGCAAGAGATTTCAACTACGTTGCGAACAAGGCTTCTTTTTTAAGAATTCTTTTTCTCAAGCTTTGTTAAGATAAAAACTATCACCTATAAGTTTTTGTTATTAACCATATAAGAACCTTTATTGCCTTTTTGTTAACGCTTCGGATGTACAGTACGTACATACACTTCAAAGTGTTATCGTTATATTAGATACACGTACGTACGCATATAGTTTCTTTTTTACCCCCACTTACGTCTTTCACTTGCTCCTTGTTCTTTCAACCCTTATAATTTCTGCGGTATAAATTATGATTAAATTTGAAAAACAGAACATTCTTTTCGAACAATGCATATAAACATTAAATCTTATCATTAAATCTTTGTTAATTGGACGGGATTTAGAGAAACTTCCCGGAATAGGAATTACCCACATCAATGCATTATCAATGCATTGTCATATACGTAGCTTGTCGTTCAACGACGGGTTTAATAACTAATGTTAACAATTTTTGACATTTTTTGCAGAGTACGTAATAACAATAATTCATTTTTATTAATATGAAGATTTGCATATTTACGTTTTACGTACTTACATACATATTATCGTAAACTGCCGTATAAAAGACCCCACGCATCAAACCCCCTATGTATTAGACCTTGGTCTATAATATGGGATAAAGTTTGGTAAAATGTAAAAGCCCAGGATATACAAATAGAATTAAGTACTAACAATCAGCAATTCAACTATCATTAACCCTCCAAATTATCAGATCCGTACCCATACAAGAGACTCATGGGTCTAACAATGGGTTTTAAAATGGATGAAATGACTAGACCTGGGTCTTTTATACGGCAATTTACGGTAAATAGAATCAAGGTTAGCAAACTTTTTTTCTAAATGAGACAGTTAGTTTTTCATCATGCATTTAGAAGTACGTATGTACGTAAGTACATATATACATACGTCAGACGACTAGAGTTCCAATTCGGATAAATCTGTTATCGTATCTGAATTATCCAAATGAACAGATCAGTTATCCGGATAATCCGACCAATATTCGAATAATACGGATATTCAGATCGGATCCTTCGGATAACGGATATCTGATAAATACTTCTCGTTATTGGATTGGAATTCTACAGCCGACAATGTCTGACATGAATATATGCTATGTACTGTGCTTGAGAAAAAAACCTCATTACTTTCGTATAAATTTTTGAATGCACTCCCCCAAATAAAATAAACTTGCATGTGATATTATAACCAAAAGTTCTTCCGCATATAGATGGTTCAATAATTAAAAGCATGCATAACTTATATTAACTTATATTAACTTTTATTAGAATTCGCAATTAAAAGTGTAATTCAGGAGTACATTTTACGAATATTATTCCATTGGACAATAAAATAAAAATGCATCGCATTACATGTATATCATTTAATATTTGTATTAATATTGTAATAATACGTAATAAAGTCGTTAATAATAACTAATTTCTATTGAGAAATTCTTTTAAGGTTATTTTAAAATTTCTTTGTTTTCTTTGTATCTGTAAGCAAGATAAATGCGATCGCTCATAATATATTTCGGCACCAATTGCCATCCATATTATATGTTTAACAACTTGAAAATCACCTGAAGGTTTATTTTGCCTATTTTCCTAAATGAATTTCCTTTTATGTGCATCATGAATTAATCATTTGCCTAATTTGTTGATTATTATCCTTTAAACAAACAAATTCTCTCTTAGAAAATGTTGTCATTAAATGTAATGTATGAGATTAGCATATGGTATGCACAATAAAACAAAATATAAAATGGCATTAAAAAAGTTTTTTTTTTTTTACGTCTTGAACTTTTAAGATTATATTTTGCATAACTATAAAATACAAGATACTTTATTATTGTCATTTTTTTGTGTAAAATAATAAGACCATCTTGGTTCTCAACTTTGGGCTCGATCGAAGGTATTCAGAATTATTAATAATTTTCTTCCTCATCTTCTCTTCTTATCTTCTCTTCTTTTCTACTTCTCTTCTCACTCTTATTCTATCATTCCTCTTTCTCGACCTTTTTCCAGATCTCAATTACCTCCCGAGATTTCTTGAAAATCTATTAAACATGAAGTCATCATTCGTTACCGCTATTGCTGCCATAATCATTGCTTTGCTCTCTTTTGAAGCTTTAACAGTTTCCGCACATGAAAAATTCTTAGGAAGCTGCAAAAACTCAAAGAGAAAGGCTAATGGTACTCAAATTAAAACCGATAAAGATGATCGTGGATTTTGTTCCAGTTTAATTCAAGGACAAATCCCATCCAATTTGAACATGGTCTCCTCTCTTATCATTAGTCCTACCGATGGTGAAAAAATTAAAGAAAAAAAACCTTTCGTTATAAAAGTTAAGGTTAAAAATTTGAATACCGGTTTCTTTAGCGACCCTAATGCTGAATATTATACTGCACAACAACAACTTGGTAAAAACGGCTTTATCAATGGCCATTGTCATGTTACTGTTCAAAGATTGGATGGTGATGAAATTCCAGATCCGACCAAATTTGTTTTCTTCAAAGGATTGGAAGATAAGGCAAAAAATAATGAATTATCAGTTAAAGTTGATCATGGATTACCAAGTGGTTTTTACAGATTATGTACAATGGCCTCCGCATTGACTCATCAACCAGTTATCATGCCGGTTGCTCAACGTGGTTCTCAAGATGATTGCATTCGATTTAAAGTGGTTAAAAAATAATTTTATTTATAATCTTTTAATTTTGTATAATTATTCTTTAATTTTGATTAATGTTCTTCATTGTAAAATGAAACTTCTTTAACACTATACGTATTTGAGTCTGATTACTTGTACATACGGTTAGCGGTTTGAGGAACAAAATTTGTGGATCATAGTGGCGCAGATTTGAAAAATCATGTGGTGATAGTAA